ATTTTTAACTTTCTTGACGAAAATAGTTGTAAGTGTGTCTTAAGAAACGAACATACTGGAGAATGGAAGCGAAGAAGAAAAGGTTTTATCTTCAAGTTTTACTTTTTCGTATGTAACTATATCTAATTTTTTTAATGAATATCTTAACATTAAGCGATAGCACTCTATATTGGGATAAAATTTCAGAAGATTATGAAACTTCTGTATCATCTCCTTGGGTAAAATGATGCGTTTCTTGAGGGAGATCTAAGAGAAAAAAATATTTTCATAGTCATGTGCATTTTAGCAGAAAGAGGCTATATATTTTTATTCGTGCCATGAAAAAGTGTTTTGATTAGAAAAATGAACGGAAATTTATACTTTTTCTACTGAGTTTTTTTAATAATGCATTAAGAACCACATTGAACAGCAAGTGAAATCAGTCTTTCAGAGTTTAAATCTGGACCTCTTGCTTTAACTACCTTGAAATAAGTTGCACAAAATTAGCATTGAGGCGTCCAAATTTTAGATCGCTCTCCAGAGCTATGGGGACAATATTTTCCAGATTATGGCCACCCCTATCATTAGAGGAACAGAAATCCGAAACAGTTGAAAGAAAAGGTTTCTTTATTAAGAGAAAGTGCGTTTTGTACCTGATTTCGTAACTTAAAATATCATCTGCATTAAATAATTAGCATGCTTGATGTCACCCCTTTGAACTATTAAGAATAAATCCTAGAACAAGAAGATCCGATCATTAGATCAAAAGTAGGTTCGTTTTTTCCCTTTATGCACAGTACATGAACAAACTTCAACAAAAATGTGGTAAAGTTTTTTCGAAAGTGATGAATTGAATTTATACATTAGAGTAGTTTGTTTATTAGAATTTTTAATATTATTTTCAATGATAAAATTCAACATTTACAACATATGATAAGTTTTTCATGGTTAACTGCACCGTCGTCACCCAACCATGACCCAGCACCTAGCCCTTTTTTGGGGCTTCATTTTTAACGTCCATGGTAGGAATGCCTAATAATTTTGATCTTGGTTAGGCGACGTGAATGAGCCTGAGCTGGACCCCTATCTCTAAATTCCCCACAACCAACGAGTGCCTAGACAGATTTAACGTGCACCTTGCTGCGAATACACGCCTGTTTTTTTGCCAGCCTCCAAGATCAAACTCACTACCCTGGCTCCCCAACCATTGCTATGGTTACCTCCAATGAAATGTGTAATTTTCCATATTTTAATTTCGCTTTTTCGTTATTGCACTATTATTATATTTGTCCTACTCAACTAGACATTAAGGTGAGGGGCCACTTGTAAGTTTTTGTCAGAGAATATTTTCAGATTTAGTTCTCAGTGTTTGTTTTTTTTTTACTCAATATATGTTGAGTATGAGAATTTAAACTAATCATAAGCCTTTATTGTATTCCTAGTACTTTTATTTAGATTCGTAAAAACTTAAAGCCATATATTGTAAACTTACCTTATAGAATAATTTCAAAACTTTTATTTCTTTATTTGCATCATTTCTTGAGAAACCAAATCATACCAAAAAAGTTTTTTTTTGATTGAATGAAACCGTTAGCTCTAATACCTTTCTTGAAACTAAAATTACAAAAAGATTTCCTAAATTAATATTCAAAATTGATGTTTATAACATAATTTTATTTTATCAAAATCTTTCTTTAAGATCTGCTTTTTATGTCAAGAAGTTTCAACCTCCACCTGAATGGTGAAACTCTAACATATATACTATTCATACTAGTATATATGTTAGAGTTTCGGTAATAAGAAAATAGGTTCTCTAATTATTATCGATAAGATATTCGTATGGATAAGTTCTTTTAACCAGTAACGCCCCAAATAATGCAACTCTCGCATTTCTTCTTGTAGCTGACCTAATCGAACAGAGTGTTTTCCTACATTATTACTTTGGGTGTTTTCTTTGCTTATAGAAGACGTGCCAGAAATCAACAGTCAACAAATGATTCTAATAATATTACTCTAGTTATCTTCCTATAGATAGGGATAGTAGAGGCAAAAATACATTCACTGTATGTGGGATGAAAGAGGCTATATGTTTAGAATAATTTTTCAGCTTTTAAATAAATAAATAAAAATATACGCCATTTATGTTTCTATGCATAAGAGGAAGGCGTAAAGCAATTTAAGTCAGTTGTGATTTTATTTAAGTGAATATACAGGGTGTTTATAAAGTCCCGGACCCATTTCGATGTTTAATAACTCATAAAATAATAAAGCTAGATTAAAATCAATAACATAAATGGTTAGATAGACTCAAAAAGTTTCATGACCCTTGTCAATGAACTTCGTCGCACGGAGAATATCTAGTCGATAGTCAATTTCACGCCAAGTAGCGGCATCCACAGAGGCCAAGGAATTGGACCTCCTCGCCTACAGAAAAGACGGTCTCATCAGTCGTATACTTAGACATGTTGGAAAACATCGTATTTCTAAAACTAGAAGAGCTTCAGCCACATGTCTTTATGCAACAAGATGGTGCACCACCTCATTGGGGTATCATCGTTCGTAGTTCTTTGAATGACCATTTTCCAGGAAGATGGATTGGGCGAGAAGGTCCAACTCCTTGGCCATCCTGATCACCTGAGATAACGCAGCTGGACTTTTTTCTTTGGGGATTTATAAAGGACAATGTTTACAGGAGGATCGTGTCGAACATTGATGACCTAAAAGCCAGAATTACAACAGCAATAGCCTCTGTGGATGCCAACATGCTTGCCACTACCTGGCGTGAAATTGACTATTGACTTGATATTCTCCGTGCGACGAAGGGGGCACACATGGAAGTTCATTGACAAGGGTCATGAAACTTTTTGAGTCTATCTAACCATTTATGTTATTAATTTTAATCTATCTTTATTATTTTATGAGTTATTAAACATCGAAATGGGTCCGGGACTTTATAAACGCACTGTATTAGTTTTATATAGTTAAATAATCATTTATTTTGTGATAAAAGTTGTCTTTTAGACATTTTTAGTCCTAAGTCATTCTTATAAGAGTTAATTTTACAGCTCTACATTTTAGATAATTACTATTAAAAAAAAAGCTCGTTATAGTTTTTTTTTATCCGGATACTTTAAACTTCTGTTTTTTTCTGAAAATTGAACTAAATCGAACTTTACCTACATCCGGTCGATACTTAATAAGCAAAACTACGCAAAAGTGTCAGAAGTTGGAAGATTTCAGATTTCTTCGTACTCCCAATTTTCAGGAAACTCGCCAAAATTCTTTATTTTCGTTCAATGAAATGAGGCACTTCTTTAAAAAGAAAGAAAGAAAAACTGCGCCAACTTTTCCTTGTTATATTGAAGAAGTTTAAAGGAATAAAAGATGATGCCCTCTGAAGGTTGTCGTATACTGACTAAGGATTGTTGGTCTGTAAGAGATGTACGATAATGATATGTCCGCTTCACCTGAGAAAAGGGTGGAAAAAAGTTCCGATTCGGCCCTGGAATAAAATGAAAAGGAAAGACTTTGTTAAGAACTGAGGATTTTCGTCTCTAGAACATATATACACGAATAGACTTTTTTTTTAACTTTCTAGCTAGAAGAGTGTTGGTAAATAATTAGTTTTTCGCAAAGAAATATTGTAAATGCCGGAAATAATGTTTTAAATATTAAACAGTGACTAAAGAAAAAATCTTTTCTGTGATTAAGTATTAAAACGGTCGATATATTATTTTCTGCATCTTTATGAAAAGAGCACTAGGAAACTATTTCTTTAATTGCATGGAGTTTTTTTTTTAATGATTCTTGAATATAATTACAATTTTGATATTAAATCTGCAATCAGTTTCTTTTTTTTCAAGCTACAGTTTTTTTTTTTTTTTTTGATGACATTTCTTCCAAAATAGATCTAATTTTCAATAGATAATAGATATAATAGATATATTAAACGATAGAAATAATTTTCGAAAATTTTAAAACAATATATATAATTAACCGAAAGTTTAAAAACAATATATATATAACCAGAAGTCACATAAATGTGCTACAAACATCTAGGGGAGTAAGGGCACATGATCAGGATTAAAATTGCATAGGAATCCATGCCCGAAAATGCGTCGCTTGGTATTCTCCCTTATTATGAGCCGCTTTTTCGTATGCTTCTGAACAGATAGTAGTAGGGTAAGCGCCCCTAGCTGCGTACATTTACGGACGCGAGTTCCCATGCCGTTATAATAATGATAATATTTCCCTAAAAGTTTGTCGCAACATTTACGCGATCCTGTATTACACATAATGCTTTTGAGCTTGCACATTTCGACAAAAATAAACCAAAAATGTCATTAAGAAAAATATCTGTAGCTTTAGCAGAAAAACTAATTTACCTCACACCCGAATCAGAAAAGATCAAACATTTATGTAAATGCGGCAAAAATTTGTACCCCAAGTTCCTTAAAACCTTGAAATTCATCTTTTTTCTTTCAGAATCAACTTCCATAGACATAAACCGTTCTTCCCCCTTGACCTTCATGTGTATAAATAAAACAAATCTACCCTTGAAGCGGGATATATGTAATGTTGCGATATATAATATTTTTTTAAACTAACATCTGTACAGTTTAGATAATCCTACATTTGAAGCTGTGTATATATGTCCCGTTTCAATATGCAATATACATTTTCAAAATAACATGAATTCCATTTAGATAATCTCACACTTAAAGCGGAATATATGCCCCCGTATTGATATATAAAATGCATTTTCATATTATTGTGAAAATGTATATTATATAACGTAGAAGAAAAAATCTTATGGTTTATAGAACTGAAAGGTAAGTGTTTTTTGGTTACAGAATAGCAACAGGAAGAATTTCTTATTTTTACTTTGTTTGCGTTGTTTAGCTTTTACCATTTGCTTAACTCACCTGGTTGACAGAATGCTCAGTATAGTCAATTTTATCTCTTATTTTATTAAATTGTATACTACAATATTTTACATTTCTTTTTCTTTATCTTTTCAGCAATTGATGGCAGGTGGACCTCGTGGTCATCTTGGTCAAGTTGCGGCCAAGACTGCAAGCATTACCGTCGTCGATCGTGTTCAAACCCAAGCCCATCCAACGGAGGTCGTTACTGTGCAGGGAAAGATGTCACCATCTCAAATTGCACAGGTGGATTATGCAGAGGTATGTTTTCATTCATCAGTCATTTAATATCATTATTATTGGCATTTAGTATTATTACTATTTTGCAGACAGTAAATCATTTTAGACTAACGAACTGCATATATGGATATATTTTATTATGAAAATGGTGTTTAACAACAGTAAAACCGTATCGGTTTTATAACTTTTAATTCTATATCCTTGAAATTTGGAGCCCAACTTAGAACGCAGAAGCTCTTGGATCAAACCTCGGGCCAAATTCATCTTTGTAGAACTATCCACACTTTTCACTTTCTTAAAAATTTAATTTTCTTCAAAAATGTACAAATTGGACATAACAGTCGACATGTCTCAAAAAGTAGGTGTCTGATTTCAAGACTTGTCTGACGGGAATTAGAAGAAACAAAAGGGATTTGAAACATAAAACGTGAAGTTGCCAACGAAAAATTCAAAAATAGAGAAGAGAAACCAAACTAGAAAAAACCATTGTTACCGGGAAAGAAAAAAAGTAGATAAACCGAACAAGAAACACCACAGTGACCGAGAAGGGCAAATCAGGGTAAAATGCATTTCCACGAGCTTTGAAGAGGTGGTGAGCAACTAATGTCGCTAACAAGAAAATATGCATTCATATGAAGGAAAGTAGGTTCAAGGGCATCAGGATAACCAGATGTGACTTGGGGTGGAAATAACTTTATCATTGTCAAATTTCTGATGTTCTTTATAACGGACATAACTATCGTGTTCTTTAAATCTAAATTTTAAAGCGCGTCAAGTTTGCCAAATGTATTAATTGTTTATTTAATATTTGCACTTACGTTTCATGGAGAGGAAAACATGACATACTCCCACGGCTTTATCGGAAGGGGAAACTAAAATAAACAAATTACTGTTATTAGGGATCAGCAGTGACGAAAAAATTAAATCCCTGATATAGTGCGGCTTTCAGGAGTGCTCCCCCAGACACCAGTCTCGCGTCGTGGCAGGTACTATGGTAGAAAATGTACCACTTGGAATATTTTTACGTTCGGATCGTAATAGATTCGGTTGGATGTAGTATGCAAGCCGACCAGCTTTCCGGGATTCGAACTTGTGACACCTAAATGGAAAGTAAGAGCGTTATCGGCTGAATCCCCTAATCTCAGAAACAGATATAGTCCTTATTTTTAGTATTTAGGAATACAACCATAATTAATTATCGGAAGTTTGTGTAAGGGCAAATATATTGTAAATTAAGAATGGCAACAGCGATTATGTTTAGTTCGAATGTAATCGCATATATGTTGTAAATTAAGAATGGCAACAGCGGTTATGTTAAGTTTTGTTTTGTGATGAAATATTTGTAGATCGTTGATATGAAATGTACGTGAATGTAGTTACTACATTGCTACGTTGCGAGTGCACTTATATTATCAATAAATATTGTTTTTGCTTTCTATAAAGTATTTATTATTGTTAAATTAACAACATACGATGCAAACATTTGCCCAAAAATAATGTATGGAATAATTTTCTTACAAGAAAGCGGAAGAAAATATATTTATACATATAACTTTTGCCATTAACTATTTATCAAATTAGTGTTTCAATAAATGATTAATATTTAATAGTGAGATTAACTGTGATGTGTTGGGTGTGTGATTTGGTGGATTAACTGTGATTTTTTGCTCCAGTTTCCTTTATTCCACAGATAATACAACTGTTATTACTATCGAATGTAATATTTTATTCATTGCGTCTTGTATATACGTTTTTAAGAAATCCTTAGTAAAAAAAAAAGAATATTCCATTTAAACTAGGAAAAAAAAAACATTATATAGTCTAATAAAAAAAAACTAATACATTCAATTTGTCTACTAGTCAGGGTATATTCAGATCGTCGAAATAAACAACCTTTTTTAGTAAAGTATAAACAAAATATCGAAGCTAAGAAAGTAAACCAGCTATTTCGAGCAGACAAATCGTAGGTTTGACATGATTTTCCCTTCTAGAAATCCTCCTTTTTCCCTATCATCTTTGTCATTTTCCCCAACTTCATCCTAGCATGTGAGGATCGAGAGGGTTAGGGGGGTTTAGCGAAGGCGACGATGACTATCATCCGAAAGACGTTTTCTCTTGACAATATCCTATCTCCTTTTTTTATATCTTTCCGGATATTTATTTTTTCTGTGGGAATAGCTATGGAATGTACATCCAATATCCAGCGTTACGGATCCACGTTTTATCACCCCCTTTTCTTTGCTAGCCCCCCTGTTGCCGCTTGTCAACGTCAGTCGGTCGGATAACACGACAAATACTCGCAATAACTGTCCCGTAGACACCCTTTCCGTATTGTTTGTCTTCCTACCACAACCTTCCCTTTCTCCCCTTTTCCTTCTATCTGAGTTGGTGGTTATTTTTCTGGAACAGCCGCCGTTTTTGCCAGATTTGTCCCCAATGCGAATAATATTGCTTTGGTGTGAGAAAATATATATTTTTTTTATGTTGACGATTGGTTAGAAAGATTTTTTTATGCGTTTTGATGATGTTAGATTAAATATTCCAAGAAGAATCAATTAGCTCAAAATAATTGGAATTCTGAAAATCAAAAATAATACACATCTATTAGTTTCGGATCATTTGAATGGATTAGTTTAAAAAGCCTTTTGAATTTTATTATTAATATCAATATTTCATTCTTTTATTTATATTTTGCTAAACTCATTTAAAAGAAAAGTAATTCTATTCAAATTAAAATTTCTAATTTAAAAAAAAATTTAAATTGTTTAATAATTATTGTATTAAGAATACAGTTTTCGTATGTCTAGATTGTCTATTTGCTATGCTGTCGTATAACAGCTCAAAGTAGTTCACCAATGTATAAAGTTTAGAGCTAAATGTTTATTAATGGAGAAGCAAATATGATGAAATTGCTGTTCCAGTAAATATAAACTAGTTAAGTTTATCCTATTTTATCTTTAAAATGAAAAAAATTTCAAAAATTTTACAAATATTGGAAAAATTATCTAATTTTACTTAGCTGCATTCTTATATTAACGTTTTCTAGAAATTTTCTAACAAAGTTACCCTAGCTTTGTTCCAAAATAATTTCTGTTGTAGAATTTGGAGAATTACAAAATCAATTTTGTTCTCATCAATTTTTTTTTTCTTTACTGCTGTGAAAATATTTTCTGACTAGTTAAGTTCAGTTAAATTATATGAAGGTTATAAAAAATGTTTCTTTCGTTCTCGTTAGTTCGTATCAATTATCAATTTCCTGCCCTTTTTTTTCTCCTTAACACGAAAAAAATCTTCCTGTTTTTCAAAAATGTCAGCAAAAATTAAAATATTTTAATGCTAAATATTATATGAAATATATTTGATACTAAATTGAAAATATTCAAATATGTAAGGAACTCAAAAGACTAAGCATGCAAAATTTAAATGTTCTATAGAAAAATAAAATATGCATTATTAGAATTGTAATTTGCAGACCTATGCCCAAAATAATTTTACTAAATATGTTTTTGTATGAAATTAAAAATATAAATATGTTTCATTAACAACACATTGTGTGGAGCATATAGCATTTAAATTTAGGTGAATTGAATGGCTATTATTTGGTTATTACTTTATGAAGAATTATGGAAAAGTGGAACTATTCTTTTTTCGTGGAAGTTATATATTGTAAAAGCTTTTTAAGAAAGTTGAATATGATATTGAAAATAACAATAAATTGCTTAACAATTTTTTTTCTTCACGAATTTCATTTTATTCTTATGCTTCTCAAAAATACTCCCAAAACGTAACTTATTTAATTTAGAGACTTAACGAAATTTTGGTGTATTTATTGGTAATCAAATCAATAATGAAACAACTATAAAATCAAAATGTTTCTTAAATAGTTATGATTTTACTTAATAATATATTGCCTGAATAAGTATTAATTAGATGTAAAGAATAAAATTAATATAGGCTTTATTGTAAGCTTTTAAATGTTTATTAATTTTAAAAGAAAAAAATTCAGGCATATTAATTAAAAAGTAAGTTTTTTTTTTAAATTTTACTAGCAACTTTCATTTAATTGATACCAATGTTCTACTAACAATACTTGATCAAATTTTTTTAATTTATTTATTTATTTAGTTAAAAGTCAAACTCGTTGGTACTAAGAATCTATATTTAATTAAGTTTTCAACGTCTCTAAATATTTTCTGTAATAAACAAACAAAATAAGACCATTAAAATACTAGTTATAATTATGCGTTATAAGTTCAATTCAAATAAGTATATTTGGAAAGCTGTTAATGTACATAACTAAACGATATTTTTTATTTATATTTCTTGCATATAGTGGGATTAATAGTAATGACATGTGAATAAAATATATTACATAACTAGTACTGCAAATCTGAATCTCGTTCTTTATGGGTTAGTGTTCTAACTTTTTAATGATCCTTAGTATTCATAAAATGGTTTTATCTTTTTTTGTTTTGTATAATTTTTTTTAAAGAAATTTCTAAATCAGAAAGTTTTTTTTAAAAAATATGCTCCTAAAACAAAAATAGATTTTCTCTTAAAGAATTTAATTGAATTTTTCAAAATTAGTTTTACTCCAAAAGAACTAATCGTTTCAAATATTAATTTTCCCTTTTTTTGTCCTTTAAAAAATGCGCCCATGCATATTTAATTACTTCTCCATGTATTATAAGATTGTTCAGGAATTAAATAATATGCTTTATGTATTAATTTTTTTTTGTAAAATAATATACACTATTGCGTAATCAGTGATAAGAATTTCAAAAAAAATATTCCAGTGTCATTTTACGCACTTGTTTTTCGTGTTTGAGTAAAATTTAATATTCTTACATGGTTATAACCTTCGGATTTTTTTAAAAATAACTTTGATTTCAAGGACTTAAAAACTTTCTAGAGAAAAGCAATTACCTAAAGTAACATTTCCAAACTTTTCAAAACTCGACTATTCTCCTCAAAGAGATACTCTCTAAATAAAATTTGAAGTTACTCTTTCGCAATAAAAT